TGTCTAGTTATAACAATAAATAACCCAATCTGCAAATGCATAATTAAGCAACCTTGTACTGACTAGACTCTATCAAAGCCTAGTACTCTAGTGACTTCTGAAGTTGGAAAAAGACTTTTTTTTAACATCCAGCTTAATAACGTTGTTTTGTCAGTGCTTACACTCTCAGGGTCAAACAAAATCTATTAATTTTTGTATTTGTCTAGTTGTATCAACCAACAATGGACTTTGTTTTGCAAGCTGAATCTGCAATTTTACAATCAACTTTGCACTGCACTGGCAAGCCTATTTTTTATAGTAGTGATCTGTGAAGCTGAAGACAGCCCTTGTGTGGTCCAATTTCACTATAAAGATTTTTATGTGGGTTGGTACACTCTTAGAGATAGTTATAATCTATTTTTGTGGGTGTTTTTCTAATTGTAACAACCTACAAAGAACGTGGTTCTACAAACCGAAAGTACGAATGTACAATTTTACAAGCAACTTTAAACTGACTAGACTCTAGCCAAGCATAGTAGTAATCTGTGAAGCTGAAAACAGTTATTTTGTCATCCGAATTTCGGTATAAAGTTGTATTGTCGGTTATTACACTCTCAGAGATAGACCGGGGGGGGGGCTCTCGTGGCATGGAGGTTAATGTGTTCGCCTCTCATTCAAATGTCATGGGTTCAAATTCGAGTAGCGACAGAAACAGTTCATTTTCTTCTCTGAAATTGTCCCCTTTCACCTCCTTTCCTATTCTCTAGCCTTTTTCTGTAGTCTGCTTTCGTCTCCACTTCTGCTCCCACCTCCTCACCTCGCTTTGCCCCTTCCTCTGGGCTCTTGACTCTTTCTGAAGCCTTTCCACAGATACTCTTTGGCTCCATCTTCTGCTGTCTTTCAGCCACTCCCCTGAACTTCTCGGACAAGGGCGAAAAATCTCGGAGGTCCCGTGTGCAAGTTGCGCACGTTAAAGATCCATTGGTGGTCTAAAATCGATAGCAGTAGGCTTCGGTCGCCACCCGGGCAAAATTCAAAATTTCCTATCAACTGAAAATGTTTAATGTGTCCCGCGCGCTCATATTATGACCATATTATGCAGTTGCGAGCGCCGTAAAACACTTTTTTTAAAAGAGTTTGACCTGATATATTTCTTTTTGTTTTGTCAAGATGCAACAACCAACAAAGAACTTTGTTTCGCACAAGATCACACAAGAGCGCAGGACTCGTGAAAGTTGGTTGTTATCACGTCAATTTACTGCATAGCTTGGTTCTAATTTGCAGAGTCGGCGTGGTTGAAGTGTCTAAAGTACAAACTAAGAATTCAGTTTTAACTGCAACAACTTAGATCTAGATCTACGTGTTTTTGAAAAAAAAAATCCACTTACATTATTTTTACCGAAAAGATCAATGCCCTTTGTACAATCGAGACGTTTGTTAGAATCAGCGATGGATAAGAAAATTCTTCAAATTAGTGTATTTGAAATATGTCCCTCGAGTCTCTCAGAAGTCTTGTGGCGTCAGTAGCACGGTTGTACCGAACCCGTAATCGTGAGCTTGCAGGTTCGAGGGTTCGAGCCTCAGCTCGGTCCGATATTGTGTCACTTAAATTTCTTATTTATACTCTCGTGGAGATACTTGAAAGATTTACTGGGCCCAACTGCAGCATGATATGATGGAGTTTATTGTTGTTTTTGTTGGCTCCATTGATCCTCCCAAAGAAAAGACTAGGGGTGTAACTTTTGACCTAAATTTTGGGATCTGTGTGAGGGAGGATGTTCTCTCTTCATCCCAAAAGAAAGGACAAAGGTTCCTTAGCAAGAAAATAGACTTGATCGCTTCTTCGGATACCTACATGGCTCGGTAGCTATGCAAACAATATTTTCCCTTGTCAGCTAAGGAGCGTGAAGTTGATGAGCGGAGTGAGTCAAGACAAGGAATCGGACCGAATGAGAAAATATTATTTTGATGGTTTTTCAACAGAGTACAATGCCATGTCCACGACAGTGTCCTGTACAGAAAAAAAAAAAAAAACAAA